GAGTTGAAGTCCACTCATCTTAAAGTGGCCAAGTTTGGACAACGCTGATTTACATGAAAGGATGCAATCGTGAACACGATGCTTCTACGGACACCCCCAAAACTATGGCTTTACCACCACGTGCCATGCTGAAAGGCATCAGCTGGGGGGAAACCATTTGGCCCTCAGCACAGCGCTGTGATTGGAGGATGGCTTTGACAGACGCCCAAGCCCACCAACTCTCTCAGCCCCAGGAAGGAGGCAATGGTAAACCATTTCTGAAAGACCTGCTGGGAGCAGAGTTTGGGCTGCTTTGGGCCACAAGACCAGGAGGGCGGTGGGATGCTTTGGGGAGATTTTTCTAGATTTTCTCTCTCTGCAATTCCCTGCCAGACCGAGACCATTTTTGACCTTGATCGTTCTTCTGCCAACTTCTCCCCCAGCTCGAGTTAGTCCCATTCTGCTCTGTTTCAGAGTCATCCTGATAGACAGACAAACTGAGTTTGGAATTCCTTTCCAACTTCTTTGGGATAAGACAGAACAAGATTTGGACCTCCCACTTCAAGGAAGCGCTCAAGCTCGAGAGATATTCTACAAAGACCCTGCCTTACGTTTCCTTCAGCTGCAGCCCCCTCACTGAAGCAGCAGAGGGCAGGGTCCCTGCAATGACCGACTAAGCCTGCGGCTCATTCTTCCTTGGCCCCGAGGACACACTTCACTGTCCCGAGTCTCCTTCTTGTCCCTTAGGAGTGGTCAGACCTCAAGTGTCGGGGCCTGCGAAACACCGATGCCTACGTCCTGGTATACGACATCTGCAGCCCTGAAAGCTTTGAATACGTGAAAATGCTCCGTCAGCAGATTCAGGACAACAGGTAAGGACAGGATGTGACGAGAGGCCTCCATGGGGCGGGGCAGGGCATCGGATCGGAAAGCAAACAGGCCCTTTCGAGGGGCAGGATGGCAGCACCAGTGGGTAGTCCACAAACCAAATGGATTGGCACGATCCTGGGAGAATGGTTTTGGTTATATGGAGGTGCCCACAGGTATCAACTCAGGCCTCTGCAGGCGACTGAACTGGCCTGTCTTTAGAAATCAGCTGGTAATTTCGAGTAGAAATTTCACTTGCTATTCACTTGGGACTAAGCTTCCAAGAATTCTTCCATAGGTACGTTATCATCGTCTTTCATTTATTTCACTTGCTGTTTCTTTCGTTGATTAAATTCCTGACATTATTTCATTCAGTTTCAGTGTGATTAGTTTTCATTCTTTGCCATTATTGCTATGGTTATAGATTATCCTCATATCAGGGTAACTTCGATTAGTTTTTGATGGTTTGGATTTATTTATATTGACCATGGATGTTTTTAGCCGTTGTCTTTTTTAACAATTTAGGTTCTCTTTGTTGATTGTTTTGTAAACTACTGGAAGTTTGTATTGATTTGGCAGTATTAAAGTTGAATGAATGAATGTCAGTTGGATTTACAGGCAGTCCTCATTTAGCAACTGCCTCGTTTAGCGACTGTTCACAGTTACAGCAGTGATGAAAGAGTAACTTTGTGACCAGTCTTCCCATTTATGACCTTTGTAGGACTGTAAAGCAAAGGAAAGCTGTAGTCGGATCATAAGCACAGTTGCAGTTTCACTTAGCAACCATTTTGCTTAACAACCAAGTTGCTGGTCCCAGTTGTGGTCACTAAACAAGGACGACCTGTACTTCTGAGTAAACAGGCATAGGAAGGGCTCATGAATATCTAATGATATTTCTTCTTTTCCCCTTTAAACCACACATAGGCCAGGACTGACCAGTGGGGGAGTGTCAAAAAAGCCATGATGGCAGACATGACGATGCAATTGTGATGGCCTTCTGGACTTTCTCGACCTCACCCCCTGTGGTCACCTCTTACACAAACTCTTCAAGAATATTTCATTTTTCCAACTGAGTTTGCCAGCTCACCTGCAGAGCTTGTTTGACACACGTAAGTCCGACGCTCCTTTGGGGGTGTGCAAAAGCCAAGCAGCAGCTTGGATGGTGGCGCTCTTCAAAAATTAAAAAAACACCCTTTTAAAAAATGTGCTCCCGCCTGTTGGAGAGTGTGTCAACGGAATGAAGTCCACACACGAAGGAAATGTGTTTATGGATACCCAGTATGGGGTGGCGATGGACGTACTGGACTAGGAGCAGGGAGATCCGGGTTCTCGGTCCTTTCCTAAGGGAATTTGGGCCAGTCCCTCCCTCTCAGCCCAGAACCTGGTCCAGTGGGAGAGTCCCAGGGTCTAGTCCCCCCCGGCCCAGCCACGGATTCTCACTGGTGACTTTGGGCCCGTCTCTCTCTCTCAGCCTAACTTAGTCACAGGGTGGGTGTTGTAGGAGAAAAATGAGAGGATTGTCCTGCCCTTGAGTTCCTGAACGGAAAGCAAGATATAAATGTACCAATAGAAGAGAATATAAATGTATATACATATGTTATCAGTGTGCTTTTTTTTTAAATTGGATTTTATTATTATGGTTTTAGTTTGTTGTTAGTTCCCCAGAGGTGCAGAATGCGCAGACGGGAGCCGGTTTAAATACACACACACACACACACACACACACACACAAACATCACGCTGATGCAGAACTTTACCTTTTCTTGAAGTGGTGCGTGCGCATAATTCTGGGCTTTCGGGCAGGAATAACCAATCCACAACCCTTTAAAGCAGCTGCGTCCTTCCTCGGGATGATGTGGCTGCCGAAATGGAATTGCCAGAGGCGGCTATGTTCATGAGCCCAGGCCTCAAAGCATTTTTGGACTGCTGCCCTTACAGCTTGGCACCCCAAACCTGAACCTCCTTCACTTCCCCTCTTTCCTAGGACAAGCAACATCAGCGAAGCCCCCATCATCGTGGTGGGGAACAAACGGGACCTGCAGCCGCAGCGCTTCACATCCCGCCGGACACTCTCCATGCTCGTGAAGAAGTCCTGGAAGTGTGGCTACGTGGAGTGCTCGGCCAAATACAACTGGCACATCGTCCTGCTCTTCAAAGAGCTTCTGTGTAGCGCCGTGGCCCATGGCTGCAGAAGCAACCACTCCACTGTGCGCCTCCAGGGGGCGCTGCACACAAACAGGTGCAGCCTCATGTGACCCAGTGCGGCCAGCCAGGGGGTGGGGTGGGGAGGCGATGCCCCGAGCATTCATCTGAAAACTTGGAAAGCCGACGTGGCGAGAGAATCGCGGCCACCATGATGGTCGTGCAAAATAGCTCCCGGCTCTATTGATGGGAGTGGAGTGACCTCCTTCTGGATTGGTGTTAAAGGAGTAAAGCGTGCAATGGGTGGAGTCAACCCGTAGTCACGACTCAAAGCCTTTTAGCCACACGCAACACATCTTGCACACATCTGGGGTTCAAGAATTCGAACAAGGCTCCACTAGCTTGCCTCTGCCTGGTTCCCCCAACAGCAGGCTGACCTGGAACTAGCATTTTCCATTCCCCACAACGTTAAAATGCAAGGGTTTTTGGATTTCACAATACTATGACCCCGTGAAACAATGAATTAATTTGCACAACCTTCCCCTCCCCCCAAGAATTCACAAGCTCATTGGGTTGGGTGAGAAATAAATAGTGCACTGACTAAAAGAGAACTAACATTCATCCTAGTTTCTAGTTACTTGGGTTTGCTTTTATCAGCCGCATTCACTTTTTTCACCCAACAAAAGCTTTCCTATTTTGAAAGTCCAGAAATTTAAAACCACGGATACAAATATAAATGTGTTGACAGATAAGTGACAGACTATTCCATGCCACTAAAGGTGTCCAGGAGGGCTCAAAATGTCCAGCGGGCACTCAAGACTATTTGATTGAAGCTTTACATGTGTCCCTCGTGCAACGCTTGTAAGAAGGGGGTGGACATTCAATGATGTAGTCATGGCTGCCGTGTTGACTTGGGGACCCAACGTGCCAACCTGGAATTTCTGCTCAATGGAGGGTTTTGACAGACGGATTGGCCATCACTCAAAACCCGCTCCAAGCCTTGCTTCCTGCTTTGGCCAGGCCAGGCTGCTGCTTGGATATTCACATTGCCTGTGTGAATCTGATCAGTTTTAAAAACATGATTCTGCTGACTTTAAGATTTGTGACCCTCCCCTCTAAATTGTTTGAGATCTCCAACAGGGGCCACGACTCTCACCCAGCAAAACCCTAGGCCTTGTGGGAAAACTAACTTCCCAGATTCCCAGATAACCTCCCAGATTCAGCTGCCAGAAAAGCAGGTGGGTTGGGGCGGGTGGGGGGAATCAGCTTCGCTTGGAGTCCATTTCCAGCATTAACCTCTGAGCAGACCTTCTGGACATCTGAGAGACGATTCACTGAGCCGGATGAAGTCTCAATTCTGTGCAGAATCGCTTCAATCAGCCTCAGCGAAACAGAGGCCCAACAGTTAAACAACACGTTCAGAAAGCAAGTAGGTTCTCAGCAGCAAAGGCGCGCTTGTCACTAGATCAGCTATCCCAGAGAAAATCTGGCACTCTACACGTATCTCAGAAGAACAATGGCATGAGAAAGTCCCCATTTCAAGGTCTTGGACAGATAAAGATTCGGGTGTGACCGTCTGACTAAAGCTGACACCTGCTGGACTCTCACCGTGGGCCAAAGCAGAATTATTTCCCTTCTCGTGGCTTAGCCCATCCCCACCGTGGTCTGTAAATCAGGGGTCATGGTTTCATCTTTGGTGTGAACCCTGCCAAGTAAGTTTATTTAGCGAGCCCTGGGCAACCAAACCTACATGAAGTTCAGTGGGCCATATTCCAAACTGCTAGAAAGCCTATCCGACTTGCATAACTTGGTACATGGTTAAAGGCACATGCTGCTGGAGCCCAGGTGCCAACAGGGTGCCAATGTGCAGTGTTTCTAAGTAGCCACAATGAAGGTGAAATGAATGTCCCACACCCAAGCACATGGCATGTCACATGATGGAATGAGTCACATCTCCCTAAACCAGGGTTTTTCAACCTCGGCTACTTTAAGACGTGCGGACTTCAACTCCCAGAATTCCCCAGCCCCCCCCGGCGCGTGGGGGTGGTTGGGGGGTGGGAGGGGTGCGCTCCTATCATAAGCAGCGGTGGAAAAAAGTGCTGGTGGAGGGGTTGGA